ATACATATGAATTTGGAGTATGGGTGTGTGCGAACATAAATGCATGCGTGCGTTCGTATCTCGCGGCATCCTTTGTGGATGGGTCTGAGAGAGTCAGAGTGTAAACAGGTATCTTTTTTCCCGCGCGCGGTGTGTGTGTATGTGTGTGTGTGTGTGTGTGTGTGTGTGTGTGTGTGTGTGTATATATATATTTGTGTGCTTGCGTGTGCGTGTGTGTGTGTGTATGTGTGTGTGATTTTGTTTGTGTATGGGTGTGCACCTCCGTGTGGGTATAAATATTATTTGTGTGTGGCGCTGTCGTTCTACATAATGTATTTTGATTTCCATGAGGGTGTTGATGTAAACCCAAATCAACTCCAGTGGAATGTGTTTATGTAACACAAGCATTTGCTTCCTGAATCTACATCTCTTATTTTGTTAACGGTCAGAGATTTTTCCAGGATCTGGCACTGCATACAATGAAGACTGAGAAGAAGATGAGATTCATATAACTCTCTCTCTCTCTCTCTCTCTCTCTCTCTCTCTCTCTCTCTCTCTCTCTCGTTCTCTTCATATCTCCTCCATCTCTCTCCTCCATCTCTTCTCCCTCTCTCCCCATCTCTCCCCCCCTCTCTCTCTCCTCACTATCTACATAACAAACAACAACAACAACAACAACAACAACAACAACATCAATAACAATAGCAACGGGAACAACAACATCAACAACGACAAAAGTAGTAATCATAATAAAAACAATATTAACAGTGATAATTAAGATGATGATAATTATAGTAATGATAAAATTAAAATAAATAATAACAACAACAGCAACAACAGCAACAATGACAACAACAACAATAATAATAATAATAATAATAATAATAATAATAATAATAATAATAATAATAGTAGTAGTAGTAGTAGTAGTAGTAGTAGTAGTAGTAGTAGTAGTAGTAGTAGTAGTAGTAGTAGTAGTAGTAGTAGTAGTAGTAGTAGTAGTATCAGTGATAATAATAATAATAATAATAATAACAAAAATAATAATAAAGAAATAATAGTAATAATAACAATAATATTAACAACATTAATTATTATCATAAACTTGATAATGGTGAAAATATTAATTATGATAAAATATTAGAAATGAATTCATAAAAATAATGATAAAATTTTAAGGTCAAGATAAAAATAGAATGATAATATTAATAATAGTTACAATAGATGACAACATTAAATTTGCGGACGATTCGACCAGGCTTGGGCTCATTCAGGCTAATTATGATGAAACTTTTAAACAAAATTTTCATTTTAAACGTATCTTAGAGGAGTGAAACTCATAAGCTGCTTTTAAATGTGAAAAAAAATCCCCAAAAAATTGTTGTCGACTTTAGAAAGTACGAATTGCCCCTGTAGCCACTTCAAATTAAAAATGAAAACATGGAGCAAGAGTCAGATTATAATGTAGTCATTAAGTGTTATCATAGACAAGTAACTCGAACAAGCCATTCGAGTTACTTGTACGTCTATGATAACACTTAATGAATACATTTCTCTCCCGCATAAAACGTGAACAAGTAATGCTTTTTTGTCTGATAAAGCTTGTGTCTTTTAAAGTTGATAAATTATTGCTGTCCATATTCTATCATTCTTCTATAGAAAGAATTATCAACTTCTGTATGAAGCCTGGGTCGGAAATACAAGACCACCCACGTTCTTCGGGTTTTATAAAAAGAAAGGATAAGCGCTTGAACGTCACAAAAAAAGCTGTAAGAAGGCTTACCCAACTAACCATATTATAGTGTTTTAGTTTAGTTTTAGTAGAGGTTTTACGGCGCAACTGCATAAGATATTATAATGTTTAAGCAGATGAGGGCTCTAAGTTAGCAAAGTGAAAGTCGCTGCTATGGCTAATTGTGACTTTTTGAATATAACAAGTTGCTTGCTGTTATTTTTAAAACCATTTTAGCTACCAGAGGATGTTAAAGGTCATTATCAGATTACGGTTAGCGAACTAACTAGATCTCTCTCTCTCTCTCTCTCTCTCTCTCTCTCTCTCTCTCTCTCTCTCTCTCTCTCTCTCTCTCTCTCTCTCTCTCTCTCTCTTGCCCTTTTTAACTCCCAGTGGAGCACAGGCCATCAACAGCATTAAACTAGATCTACATGTATAATAATAATAATAGTAAAATAATAATAATAATAATAATAATAATAATAATAAAAAAATAATAATAATAATAAACTATTATTGTTGTTGTTGTTGTTGTTGTTGTTGTTATTATTATTATTATTATTATTATTATTATTATTATTATTATTATTATTATTATTATTATTATTATTATTATTATTATTGCTATTATTATCGTTATCTTCATTATTACTACTACTAATATGATTATTATCATTTGTATTATTACATTATACCTTTCTCAAGGGCCAGTTACTATCGAGGTAGTTGTCCATTGAAGTCCTGCACAATACGCACATTCATATAATAACGATTCTGCTTGGTTCTTTTTTTTTTATTAAGTGGTATTTACCGATATTTGACAGTACTTTAACACCATTCCACACTCCCTCCCCTCAAATCACCACCTTCTCTTTAGAGGTACCCAAACCCCAACAGTCTGGTTGTCATACCCAGTAGAAATAAATACCTTCAGTGTGTGAGTATTATTATCATTATCACCATCATTGTTGTTTGTATTATTATTATTATTATTATTATTATTATTATTATTATTATTATTATTATTAATAATAATATTATTATTACCATTATTATTTATTTTATTATTTCTTCTGTTATTATTAATAGTAGTACCATTATTACCATGATTAATATTACTACTATTATTATTATCATTATTATTATTGTTATTATTATTATTATTATTATTATTATTATTATTATTACTATTTTCTATATTTTTAAATCACTCACTATCAACAATTATATAAATAAATTAAAATAGTTATGTTAACAATTATAATGACAATAACACTAAAAGTAAGGATGAAATTATGATTCTAATATTATGATAAAAAACAACAACAACCAAACAAAATGCTGGAGAAGATAAACAACAACAACAACAACAACAACACGAGTAGCACGCTCTTCGGGGCTCCAAACATTTTGAACGGATGGGCTACCACATACACAGCAGCAGCAACAACAACAACAGCAACAACAATAATAATAGTAATAATGTTACTATTACTACTACTACTACTACTACTACTACTACTACTACTACTACTACTACTACTAGTAATGGTAATAATAATAACAATAGCAATACTTGATGTTGTTTATCAGAGTTTTTGCGCGGAAAAGCCATAAGAATATCCAACCGGCTGATTACTGGCAGGACCAGCAGGCCAACCTTTTCATGGATCCTGGAGAGGAGGGGAGGGAGCAGCTATGGCATTGTAATAATAATGATAATTGCATTTATATAGCGCATATCCATGTTCAAGAGCTTGCTCTATGCGCTTCACAACTATTATTACCACAGCAGACCCTCTGAGAACACTCAGAAACATTCTCAGCTTCCGCGGAAGCATACAGATTCATTGTACCGCCTGCCGTGATACCTATTCGCCAACCAAGTAACCAAATAACCAAGTGTTTATTAGAGTTGAAGACGAGCACGTCAGCTCGACAACGGCCATAATTTACTTCATTTGGCTCGGTGGAAAAACAAGACAGCAAGGTAGAGGTTGGCTAAGTAGGACCTGCCGATTGTGGCCTCCAGCCACCCGTGAAGTGAAAGGAGTCTGATCACCGTTATAGACTGCAGGCAGCTGGGATGGCGGGTCACCTAGAAATAATTGGGAATTTCCAGGGAAATCAGTGAACGAGTTGTGTTAAAATCTTTCTCAAGGGCCAGTTACTATCGAAGTAGTTGTCCATTGAAGTCCTGCACAATACACACATTCGTGTAATAAAGATTCTGATTGTTTGTTTTTTCATTACGTGGTATTTACTGATATTTGACAATACTTTAACACCATTCCACACTCCCTCCCCTCAAATCACCACCTTCTCTTTAGAGGTACCCAAACCCCTACAGTCTGGTTGTCATACCCAGTAGAAATAAATACCTTCAGTGTGTGAGTCAGAGGTTGACTGTTTCCCGCTAGAAGGACGCAAAAAGGACGTGTAAAAGGAACAATAATTGGTTGCGTTTCCCCTGAAATGATGA